CCCCAAGTTCTGCTATTTTTTGTTTTCGGCCATGGTCAGTCATTTTTTTATTTTTTTGCTATTTTGGGGGGTGGGGGGCGTGAGGGTCTCTCAAAAATCAAAAAGGGGGTGTGATGCCGAAAAGTTTGGGAACCACTAGAGAATTTATCCCAGGAACTTTTCTGGAGTTTCGAATTTCTTTCCATCACAGACAACAGAAACAATCTCTAGGAGTTTTAAAACATGTAACCTTTTGTTGCTGGTTTGCCACAACAAGAGGCACCTCTCCATCATTCCACCACTAGCCCCCTGACACTGTTTATACCTCTCACGTGCAGATGGGTTTTTCTCGTCCCTTGCTTTGCATGCAGCAATCAAAGCCACTGTCCAGCTCACTGCACTGCCTTCTCTACCCCCGATCTTCCCCAGAAACCTTCCCGCGCTGCGTGCTGGAGGTCTCCGATCACGAGGTGCTGGAGTGGTACACTGCCAGAGATTTCGCCGTTGGCAAACCCGTCACCCTCTTGGGGCGCAACTTCTTTATCTACGACTGTGACGAGTTCACACGACAGTTCTACCACGAGAAGTTTGGCATCACTGACTTCCAGTCGGTGGATGTAAGGAAACCACCACCAGAGGAAGTGCCACAGGTACTGAGAGAAAATTCACAGGGTGAGGGTGAGAGAGAGTGAAAGAAACCCATCAGCTTATACAAGGTCAAGACCCTTTGGACTCCTAGGTGCCATTGCCATAAGCCTTTTAGAAATACTTTCTCGTACTGTTGTGGTGTTGCTCAAGTGAGTCAGATGAAAGGAAAGAGTAGAGCGTGTTAGCCAGGGGCAATAGGGCTGTGAATCTTAGCCTATATAGCTGTGAAGTACTGGCTAGCTTTCTACTTCTGAGGTGGCGAGGAGTCCTGTGGCACCTTATAGACTAACTGAAGTGTAGGAGCATATTCACCCCTCTGATACTTCTGAGGTGAATTCTATTGCTGAATGGCACAGTCGCTGGACGGTAAAATTCATCTGCTAATGCTCTGGAAAGTACCTTGTGCCTTTTCCACAGTGTTGATTGGATTTGTGGAATTTGCTTTGAGCACAGAGATTTAAAAACCGATAAACCTCATTAGATATTTATATGAATAAGTTGCCACAGGCCCTTACTTGGTGCCAAATTCTGCAGCCTGGACTCACAGAGTAGCAGTTAGTCTCATGGTGCCATTGCTGGAGGTTTTTCAGAACAGGTTGGATAAATGACGGTCAGGGAGGGTCTAGAGTTTCCCTGGTCCTGTCTCAGGTGCTGGGCTTGGATTTGAGGTCCGTTCTAGCCCTATATTTCCATGGCTCTATGGGAGTAGAGTCCTACTAAATTCCCGAGTAAAGACTGTATGAAAACTGAACACAGAGCTCAGACTTTGGACCAAGAAGATTATAGGAGGTTAAATATTACAGGGGCTTTCACCGCTCATGCTTCAGAGCAGCTGGGTTTAGGAGACAGTATTGCAGACTTATACCCTGTAGACTTGTACACGAGCAGGAACAATATAGCAGATGGGGCCTTTTTCTGGAATGCTCAGTATTGGCCAGTCATGGGGAGCACAGGGTTAGCTGGGTTATTATGGTTCCACTGTGGCAGATCTAGAGAGGTCAGTACTTTCTCTGGGATGCTATTCCAGCAGCGGGGAAAGTCTTAACGTCATAGCTCACCTAGAAAAATTCTGCATGGCTTGATTACTACCACACAGCAGGGTAGCCAAGTTGAATAGGTAAGTCGGTCAGTCTGGCAATGTTCTCTACTCTTGTGGCAGTTCGGAAAGGGGACATTTTCCAAAATGCCTAATACACAGATCCTCAAAGGTGTTTTGCTCTCCTAATTCCCTCTGGGCCCAAGTGATTTAGGAGCTTAAGTCACGGGATCTGTATTGTCAACAGAAATGGTTTGCTAGCTTCAATCAGTTACAGCTGGGCAACCCCCTGGCTGAGAATAGGGTTGCACAGGTTTCCCCAGGCCTGCAAAACTCCTGGCCCTGATACTTGGAAAGGGAAGACTGATCCTCGAGCTCAAGGCTGAATTTGCAGGGCTCAGGACTAGGAAAACAAACATCTTTTAGCTGGAGCACATTCAGTCACAATGAACTGGTTAAAAGACAGGAAACAAAGGGTAGGAATAAATGGTAAATTTTCAGAATGGAGAGGGGTAACTAGTGGTGTCCCCCAAGGGTCAGTCCTGGGACCAATCCTGTTCAACTTATTCATAAATGATCTGGAGAAAGGGGTAAGCAGTGAGGTGGTAAAGTTGCAGATGATACCAAACTGTTTAGGATAGTCAAGACAGAAGCAGACTGTGAGGGACTCCAAGAAGATCTCACCAAACTGAGTGATTGGGCAACAAAATGGCAAATGAAATTTAATGTGGATAAGTGTAAAGTAATGCACATCGGGAAAAATAACCCCAACTATACGTACAGTATGATGGGGGCTAATTTGGCTATGACAAATCAGGAAAGAGATCTTGGAGTTATCGTGGACAGTTCTCTGAAAACTTCCACGCAGTGTGCAGCGGCGGTCAAAAAGGCAAGTAGGATGCTAGGAATTATTAAGAAAGGGATAGAAAATAAGACTCAGAAAATCTTACTGCCCCTGTATAA